GATGAGCAGAGGAATGCACCAGGAGAACAAATAATTCCTCTGGGATAATTTTTCTCGCCGCTCTGAGCTACGGTTTTGGAGGTGTCGCTGGTGGTGAGATGAGGAGCGGCTGTAGCTGGAGCCATTCCCATAGCAATCTGCCTCCTCCCCTCCAGAGCATCATTTTTCCTCGAAGAAGTGCGAGTTCCTGCGGCAGCCCCGGCGCTGCGCCAGCTCACATCACGGGCCACCCTGGAGCGGGACCAAGGGTCCTTGACATCTCCCCGCGGAAGCGAGCTGTCAGTCCCTCTTCCCAGGGTGAGGGTTGAACAACTCCGAATGCAGGAGAAAGCCACTGGAACAAGAGAGGGATTCACCCCCCTTCAGCATCCCACAGCTTCACGCTCACGAGATTCAGCTCCGGGGAGACCCGTAATTATCTGTTTCCAGCGTCTTCAGCAGAGCGTGAGGACACAGCGGCGCGGGATTCGGTGATTCATCGGTGACCTTCAGGCACCATGAATGTCCTCTTAAGGGGGACTAAGATAGTCTACAGAGGCTGGTAGCTGCTCTGTGGCGACTTTTCAATTCTACGTTACATTGCCTTTAATTTGCTTTAAAAGCAGGATAATTTTATCGTAAAAATGGGAGATGATACCTATCCCTGCGTTACAGTGGAATAATTGGGAGTAGCACAATAATTAAAAAAAAATGTAACGTTTTGCGGTATTTTCAGTCCAGGTTATTTTCTAAAGACACGAATCATCCTCTTCCTGGGGAGGTCATCTTCTTCCCAACAGCTGGCCATACTGGGAGGCAGCACTGGTGCACGCTGGTGGGAATGCACCCGGTGCCTGCTGCTGTTTTGCAGCTCGGTCCTCTGCAGCTCAGCATCTCCTCAGCTGGGAAACTATGGGCTGAGATGAGCATCTTGCTGCAGAAGGATTTCGGAATGGCTTTTGCTCTGAAAGTCAAAACACAGCACAGCTCGAAGAATGTGTTTCCACATAAAATGCCCTTTGGCTGCAAGCAGCTGCTGCGGCTACACTGAGAATGGCTTTTATTTAAAACTTATTTATTGACATTTGCATCCCCTCCCAGGGGACACCGTGCAGAGAGCTACAGTCTTGTGTCTTCCCGACACAAACTGATGGTACCAAGCCCAAAACTGCCCCGCTGGTGCCACTGCCCTCAAAATATGAGTGCAGCTGCCCCTGGAGACAAGCAATGCCTGAGACCCTTCCAGTGCAGCCTCTCAAGACCTTCAGTAGTGCCTGAAGCAAAGGGTACGTCTTTTAATGTCATCGTCCCACCAGTCCATCCCGACTGACGATGCTGGGGTGAGACCCATCACCTGGAGGCCTCCCAAGCCGCTCTGCTATCATGCGCCTGAGTCGTATCTCAGTCGCTGGTGGTCATCGTGAGAGATCATCCGTTTTTCAACAGGGATGGCAAATGTTTAGCCAGATGCTGACCTTGGTTTAGGATTTCTCTTCCGGAGCTTTGGGATTTTACCAGTAGAGGGCAGGCCGGGATTGCACTGCAAGCGGGAAAAATATAGAAGCGCAGGAGGGAGAGCATTTCACCCAGGGCAAGCACCAGCAGAACTGAGATAAGGAACATTTTTCATGCAGGGGGATTTGGGAGAGCAGGGCTCGCTCGCTGCTAGAGCACCTGCTGCATAGCAAGTCTCTGGATATGGCCTTGTCCCCTCCGAGCAGCAGGGGAAGGCTCGTTCATCAGCATCCTGTTTTGTTCCAGCCTCGCCACTGTCAGAGCTCGTGTGGGGCAGGGTGTTTAACACCGCTGTGTGCCACCCAGCCACCCCAGCCGGACTGCGCCCGACACAGCCCACGCGTTCCCATGGCCCTCTTCTTTATGTTTGGGGTTTTTTTGCCTGAAGAAGGAGGATGAAGAGAGTGCACAGAGAGTTCGGGGATTTCCCCTACAGGGTAGATCAAAAGTTGCCAGGATGTGTTAGAGGAGACGTTTAGGCTAAGGAAAACCCTGGGAAAAAAAATGAAGCTCCAGTCCCGGGCTACTGCTCTAATCACCATGTTGCTGTGGGCAGAAAACCCCAACGGGTCTGAACCAATGCCCTCCCACCCGCTCTGGCTCCCGTTTGATCCACAAAGATCAGGAAGTGGTTTGGATTTTTTTTTTCACTGTCTCTGTTTTGTTTTACCACTGTAGCCCGCGGGGCTGGTTTGTATGCCTGCCTCCCACGGAGGATAATTTGGTTCCTCTCTCTGGCCCAGGCCACACCAGAGCACTGAGCTCCCACCGCTGCCTCCAGCCGGGTCGGGGCAGCCCAGGCACCAGCGGGACGACCCGTCATCAATAGCCCTATTATTGCTCTTCAAATTTCTCTCCGCTTCCAGACGGATGCTGTGTTACTCCATCACAGCTGCAGTTGCTCCCTTCCAGCAATTCCCAACACAGCACTTAAGGCGGGGATTTATGGGTGGTTTTGGAAGGCATTTTGGAATGAGATGGAGTTATGGGAAAGGAAGTTGAATTCCCACCATTCCCCAGAAAATTATCCCAGCATCTTTCACAAGCAGGATCATTTACTGGTCCTTTCCTCCGAACAGAGACAAGCTCTCAGCTGTGGCTCTTTATTTAGTCCAAAGCATTTCCCGACAGCAAGCAGCAGCAGGGGTTATTCTGGTCTTGCTTGCAAAGGGTCAGGAGACCGAGGCGAGCCCTCGGCGTCTGGCTGCAAGGATCTGCTGGACCCGGTTTGTTCCCTGGCATTTTTGTGGATGCTGGTAGCTAAATGAAATGATTTGTTCTCAAGCCACAGACTAGTGCCAATCTGAGGGCAAGTGCTGCTGACTGTCCAGCTGATTTTGACACACGTAGTGGTTTGCAAAGTAAAAAGTCACAGGACCAGAGTTACCAAGAGCAGCAGCTATAAAACGACCAGCAGAGATGTTACCTTGTGAGCTCCATCTTACCTGTGTTGAAGCTTTTCAGGAACAAAAGCTTACCTGCTGCAAAACTAGCAGTCATCTGAGCAGGCTGGATGAGCAGAATAGATTCGCATCAACACCACATTTCACGCCCAGGACAGGGGTTTGAAAGACTTTATTTGACACCTTGGCTGGATGTCACAGCTGGTGAATCTAACAGCTCTGCACAGTGTGAAGTGAGGCTTGGCTACTTGCTGTGAGCTCTAGCATGCCAGCCAGCCGCGGGAACAACCAGGGCCTGCGAGGACCTCCTCTGGCTTTATTAAAAGGGAAGAAGTTGTTCCGGGCTGATTCTGGCACTTGAGGACATGGGTGAGGAGAAGTAGCGGAGGCATTTCTGTGTGTTAAGTGCGATGACATTCATCAAAACAACTGGGAGGGGACTCACTTCCGAAACAATAGCAGGTACATACATTGACATGCACATGGCAGATACAATCTGTAGGAACGCAACCACCAGCTCCTCCACACTGTCTAACCGGCTGCGCATGTAACCTGAGGCACGGGGAGAGCCTCTCCCACTCAAGAGAGATCTCCCTCTTTTTTACCTTTCTTTGCACTGACCTTTCTGTGCTTTTCTCTCTTTTCGTGTCACAGTGCTGCAGAGGTGAGCAATACTCCTTGGCGTGGGCACGCGGCTGGGTCCAGGCTACTCTGCATGTGTGTCCCAGCACGTCAAGGCACAGCAGCGGGGAGCGGGGGCTGCTCAGACACTGGGAGACCCTGTCCCGGCCACCACAGGAGTTAGGGATGTGGCACAGGGGCAGGGTGGCTCGAGATCCCCAGGTTTTTGTTCCTTTCTGCCCAAAGAAGAGCGGAGGGGAGGAGAGCTGGAGGAGCAGAGGTGTATCTGCTGGGTCGGTTATCTAGGGACACACAGGCCAGGGCAGAAAAAGCTTTTGGGAATCAGGACAAGTGCAGACCCAGAGCTTGCCGAGGTCTGTGGTGAAACCTCAGCGGGTTTCGGTCCTGGCCCAGGGAGGAGGATGAGCAATGTGAGCCCACAACATGGTGCTGAAGAACAAAAACAGAGACATGGTGGGAGGAGAGGGTGAGGGATGCAGGGCTAAGAGAGAACGAAGGGAGGCACTTCAAAAGCAGGCGGGTCTGACCCATTCCCCCTCCTTCGCAGAAAAAAAAGGGGATGGAGAAGAGACGGCTCCAGCGGGGAGACTGGCAGAGGGAAAAGCTCTTTTCTTCTCACATTGGCTGTCAGAGCTTTTCCTTCAGTGACAGGCATCCCTTTTAAATCCTCCGTCTCACCTCCTCTCGCCTCTTCACACCTCGGTGCGGAGCAAGGGCTGCAGAAGCTTCCCTCCACCCTGGCTGGCTGCTCCTGCAGGGTTTGTGCAGTGCAGGCCCTGCAGACACGGCAGAATTTCGGCTCGGCTGTGGGAACGAGCTCTGTGAAGCTGTTGCCTCACTCCACCTTAAGGGCACATAAGTGGGAAAAGCTGGTAAAGCAGCGAGGAAAGCACGGGGATTAGCAGGCAGCCAGTTCGCTAAGGGAGCTGGGGGGGCTCTAGCCTGCCTTACAGAGTGCCAGCAGCGCCGGGGATGGGGGTGAGCTGTGTCCGTCCCACCACCCCAAAATTAGGTGCTGCAGCTAGGGGACACATCGCGGGGAATCAGCATGAACAAGTCTCTGGCAGCTCTGAGTCTCCAAGGAAATAAGTCAGTATTTTGAGGCTGTCTGTTTTCCAAAGGAGAGCAACGCTGGCTCCGCAGAGGGGATTGCTGGAGAAGAGACGGGGCTGGGAGCTGCGTGTGCCCCCTCCCTTGCAGCCAGAAGGGTCTGGAGTGCAGCCGCGTGCAGACAAGTGCATCGGATCGGATGTGATTTACGTTTGCAGGCATCACGAGGGAGAGGACGTGTGATGTGAGGCAAGGAAGGCGGTGTGAGGAGGGAGGGGAGAGTAAAGAGAATTTTCTTGATGGATCCTTGGCTTCTGCAAAGCAGGAAAGATGCCTTTTCAGCTGTGTTTGTTCTTAGGCCTATGGGCAATGAGTGCTGAAGAATTCCTGTTTCCGAAGGGGAGGGGAGGGTCAGAAAGCCCCGATTTCCGTTGCCCAGGAGCGGCAGATCCTGGATGTCCCAACCCTGATCCCGGGTCCTTGCACGGCAGCGCCCAAGGCGGGAGGTGCTGTGTAAACTGGTGGAACAGGGACGCCGGCAGAGGCTGGTGAGAAGAGGAATGTGGCGATTTGGCTGCTCTTAGATGAACCCTCTCTCACTACGCCTGCTGGTGACGGCATCCTGGGCACGGCCGCTGCGGCTGCGGGCGA